GGGGTGGCTGTGGGCATAGCTTCAGCAGAATTAAATGTTCCTGCCTGCTGGCTCTGAAGAGAGCAGTGGAGCTCCCAGCACAGTGCTGGAGCTCTGCTAAGGGACAGACTGCCTCCTCAAGTGGGTCCCTGACCACCGTGCCTCCTGAATGGGAGACACCTCCCATCAGGGCTTCACAGGCACATCATACAGGAGAGCTCCAGCTGGCATCTGGGGGGTGCCCCTCTGGAAAGAAGCTTCCAGAGGAAGGAACAGGCAGTAATCTTTTCTGTTCTGCAGCCTCCACTGGTGATACAGGCAAACAGGGTCTGGAGTGGACCTCCAGCAAACTCCAGCAGACCTGCAGCAGAGGGGCCTGAATGTTAGAAGGAAAACTAACAAACAGAAAGGAATAGCATCAACATCAATCAAAAGGACATCCACATAGAACTCCATCCGAAGCTCATAAACATCAAAGACCAAAGGTAGATAAATCCACAAAGATGAGGAAAAACCAGCTCAAAAAGGCTGAAAATTCAAAAAACCAGAATGCTGCTTCTTCTCCAAAGAAACACAACGCTTCACCAGTGAGAGAACAAAACTGGACTGAGAATGAGTTTGATGAATTGACAGAAGTAGGCTTCAGAAGGTGAGTAATAACAAACTCTTCCAAGCTAAAGGAGCATGTTCTAACTCAATACAAGGAAGCTAAAAACCTTGAAAAAATGTTATAGGAATAGTTTAGAGAAGAACATACATGACCTGATGGAGCTGAAAAACACAGGAAGAGAACTTTGTGAAGCACACATAAGTATCAATAGCTGAATCGATCAAGTGGAAGAAAGAATGTTAGTGACTGAAGATAAATTAATTAAATAAAGTGTGAAAACAAGATTAGAGAAAAAAGAATGAAAAGAAGCAAACAAAGCCTCCAAGAAATACGGAACTATGTGAAAAGACTGAACCTATGTTTGATTGGTGTACCTGAAAGTGACAGGGAGAATGGAACCAAGTTGGAAAGCACACTTCAGGATATTACCCAGGAGAACTTCCCCAACCTAGAAAGATAGGCCAACATTCAAATTCAGGAAATACAGAGACCACCACAAAGATACTCCCCAAAAAGAGCAATCCTAAGACACATCGCCAGATTCACCCAGGTTGAAATGAAGGGAAAAATGTTAAGGGTAGCCAGAGAGAAAGGTCGGGTTACCCACAAAGTGAAGCCCATCAGACTCACAGTGGATCTCTTGGCAGAAACCCTACAAGCCAGAAGAGAGTGGGGGTCAATATTCAACATTCTTAAAAAAAAGAATTTTCAGCCCAGAATTTCATATCCAGCCAAGCTAAGCTTTACAATCAGAGGAGAAATAAAATCCTTTACAGAGAAGCAAATGCTGAGAGATTTTGTCACCATCAGGTCTGCCTTACAAAAGCTCATGAGGAAAGCACTAAACATGGAAAGGAAAAACCGGTACCAGCCACTGCAAAAACTTACCAAATGGTAAAGACCATCAGCACTATGAAGAAAATGTATCAACTAATTGGCAAAATAACCGGCTACCATCATAATGACAGGATCAAGTTCACATATAATAATATTAACCTTAAGTGTAAATGGACTAAATGCCCTAATTAAAGGACACAGACTGGCAAATTGGATAGAGTCAAGACCCATCAGTGTGCTGGATTCTGGAGATCCATCTCATGTGCAAAGACACACATAAGCACTAATAAAGGGATGAAGAAATATTTACCAAGCAAATGGAAAGCAAAAAAAAAAAAAGGTGTTGCAATCTTAGTCTCTGATAAAACATACTTTAAACCAACAAAGATCAAAGAAGACAAAGAAGGTCATTACACAATGGTAAAGGGATTGATGCAACAAGAAGAGCTAACTATTCTAAATATATATGCACCAAATACAGGAGCATCAGATCCATAAAGCAAGTTAATAGAGACCTACAAAGAGACTTAGACTCCCACACAATAATAGTGGAAGAGTTTTACATCACACTCTCAATATTAGACAGATCAATGAGACAGAAAATTAACAAGGATATTCACAACTTGAACTCAGCTCTGGACCAAGTGGACCTAATAGACATCTACAGAACTCTCTACCCCAAATCCACAGAATATACATTCTTCTCAGTACCACATTGCACTCATTCTAAAATTGACCACATAATTGGAAGTAAAACACTCCTCAGCAAATGCAAAAGAACAGAAATTGTAACAAACTTTCTCTCAGATCACAATGCAATCAAATTAGAACTCAGGATTAAGAGACTCACTCAAAACCACACAACTACATGGAAACTGAATAACCTGCTCCTGAATGACTACTGGGTGAGTTACAAAATTAAGGCAGAAATTAAAAAGTTCTTTGAAACCAATCAGAACAATGCCACACAATGTACCAGAATCTCTGGGACACAGCCAAAGCAGTATTTAGAGGGAAATTTATTGCGTTAAATGCCCACAAAAGAAAGCAGGAAAGATCTAAAATCAACACCCTAGCATCACAATTAAAAGAATTAGAGAAGCAAGAGCAAACAAATTCAAAAGCAGCAGAAGACAAGAAATAACTAAGATCAGAGCAGAACTGAAGGAGATAGAGATATGAAAGACTCTCCAAAAAAAAAATCAATGAATGCGGGAGCTGTTTTTTTTTTAAAAGATCGACAAAATAGATAGACTGCTAGCCAAACTAATAAAGAAGAAAAGAGAGAAGAATGAAATAGACACAGACACAATAAAAAATAATAAAGGCGATATCACCACCGATCCCACAGAAATACGAACTACCATCAAAGAATACTGTAAACACCTCTGCACAAATAAACTAGAAAATCTAGAAGAAATGGATAAATTCTTAGATATATAGACCCTCCCAAGACTAAGTCAGGAAAAAGTCAAATCCCTGAATAGAGCAATAACAAGTTCTGAAATTGAGGCAGTGATTAATAGCCTAACAACTAAAAAAAAAAAAAAAAAAACCCAGGACCAGATGGATTCACAGCCAAATTCTACCAGAGGTACAAAGAGGAGCTGGTACCATTCCTTCTGAAACTATTCCAAACAATAGAAAAAGAGGAACTCCTCTTCATTTATACTATGCAGCCATAAAAAAGCATAGTTCACATCCTTTGCAGAGACATGGATGAAGCTGGAAACCATCATTCTCAGCAAAATAACACAAGAACAGAAAACCAAACACTGTATGTTCTCATTCATAAGTGGGAGTTGAACAATGAGAACACATGGACATAAGAAGGGGAAAATCAATCATATACCACGACCTGTCGGGGGGTGGGGAACTAGGGGAGGGATAGCATTACGAGATATACCTAATGTAGACGACGGGTTGATGGGTGCAGCAAACGACCATGGCATGTGTGGCATGTGTATACCTATGTAACAAACTTGCATGTTCTGCACACGTATCCCAGAATTTAAAATATAATGAAATAAATAAAATGATTAAATATTTATATCTTATATATGTAAATTTAATTTTCAACTGGTAAATTATACGTGTGTATGTATATATGTGTGTATATATGTGTATGCTTGTGTATGTGTATATTTCATCATATATATATGATGAAAATAAAACAAATAAAGGCCCTAAAAGACAGCAAGGCCAAGGATGGGGAGACTCCTAACTGGGATAATTTGCAAAATAAAGAAGGGGCAAAGCCTGATTGTAGTAATCAGATTCAATTCTCAGCTAAATAAATTCTAGCATCTATGCTAACAGCAGATACCTTTCAATTGATATTACCTCTTTAAGCAAGGTAAGGAAGGAAAACTCATCAAATTCTAATATCAGCTGGACAGAGCACATGCTGCATGAAGGCAATGAGCTCCTCACAAGTAGGCACCCTATGTTCTTCATCTTTGTATCCTCAGCTTTCAGGCACGGTGCCTGACATCATGGATAATTGATGCTGAATGAATGATAGTTTATAATGCTGGAATGAAATGGCCCTTAGATCAAAAATGACTTCCTTTATAGCAGGGCCTTCTACCCATCCAGACATCCAAGAATTAATTAGAAAGCTTGTGGAAAGGCATATTCCTGGGCTCTGTCTCTAGATATTCTGGTTCAGTAGGTCTCAGGTAGGGCCTGGAAATCTGTTTTAAAAAAAGATTCTCAGGTGGTTTGATGTAAGTGTTCTGTGGATCACAATTTTAGTAACCAGCTTTAACCTCCATCCCCTGATGCTAGCTGTCTTCCCTAATTTCTAGCAGAAATTGAAGCTCAGGGCTGGAAATGTACAATATCTTTTTCAACAAGGAAGTATGAGATAAGGAGTCAGTTGGTGTTTTTCCATATATGTGTATATATATTCAATCTAAGAACATTATAATAACCAGAACTGTCCAGAAAGCAAAAATGTCCTGTGGTATAGAGCTTTAGAAACCTTCGTATTGTTGAAGAGAGCCTCTCTCAGGGGTGTCATATGATACATTCTCTTGCACTAAGAGGGATTTCAATTGGTTGGCTCCTAGGGTTTCTTCCAACTCAGATTCTTTGATTCTCTGATGAAACAGGTTGGGGGCAGAAGAGGCAGATAATACATTCATATTTAACTACTTTGAAAAATGTGGATTTCTATAAAAATGTGACGTATTGTTTTCATTATTCATGATTTGAGGGTAGGATCTAACACCATTTTTGGAAGGTTTCTGATCTTTATTTCTATTTTCATGAGAATGTTTAATAAGAGAATACTATATACAAATAGATGAGTTTGGGAAATTTGAAATTTTTTGTAAAATATACCAGGTATGATTTTTCAGGGCCTATTTTGTGTTTAGTTTTAATAATCTTATATTTTTTTCAACTTTGAAATAAATAAAGTCTCATAGTAGAAAATCTGTAAAATTCAGAGAAGTTGAAGAAGACAACAAAAACCACATTTTCTTACTACTGAGAGGTAATCTCTACTAGCATTTTCAACTATTTCACTTGCCCTCCCACCCAAATAAACACTTATACAAACACAAAATTTTATTATTGGCATTTTACTGTTATTTTAAATATTCCTTAAAAACATATTCTTAACTAATAGCAAACTATTTTATTAACAAATGCATTAATAATAGCATAAAATGGCCTTTAGGTCAAGTTTGATGTTGTCCAATAGAAAACTAACTCAGGAGTCCATACTGCTGTCTTCAAACTGAAGCAAACAAACAAAACAAAGTAACCGTTTTTTTTTTTATTCCTATCTTTGCATATTTAGATTATTTCCACTTTTCTATTATAGTAAATATGTGGTGAAAATGCTTGTACATGAAACACTGACTTACCTGTATATGTTTAAGATGGATTCTCAGGTATGGTAATTGTGGTTCAAGCCCTACAAACACTTGTAGACATTCCATACACATTTTCAAAGAGCTTGACAGGAAGATTTCACCAAATTTTGCATCCACTAACTATGGATGAGATCTCTCTCACTGCATGGTGGCAAGGATTAAGTATTGACAAAAATAAAGCAGAAAATTTACCCACCAACTTAATGGGCAGAAATTTGAAATTTTGTTTTTACTTGTTGATTAATAGTAAAGTTGAATATGTTTGCAGATTCATATAACTCGTGCATCTTTCTTCTTTTAACGTTCTGGGTTTTACTTCTATAGTTTTCCATTTCTCCACCTAAGGCACAACTCTGGTGAAGTTTCAACTTCAAAATTCTTCTAAATGTTTTGTAGAGAAAAAAAGGGGATTGAGAAAGAAAACATTTTAAAGAAGATACAATTCCCAAGTTATTTTAATATTTTTATTATTGAAATTTAAAAATATTCGTGGCATTATGTGGTACTTGTAGAGCTATGAATGGTGACTTTTTTCTTAAGGAAAATAATATGACAATAAATATGCATGACTTTTTCAACTGCATTGAAAGAACTGTGTAATAATAAATACAAAATTTTCACTACCTGTTCCAAAATTTTGTTTTCAGTAAACCAAATGATTCAGTCAGATAGAAGTAATTCCAGGTAATGTTTTATTTCTATAATTTAAAAACAAACACCTCAAATCTGACAAGTTTTTGTCAACTTTTACAATAATCAGAATGTCCTATACAGATTATTTATGATATTATGACTTTACTATGTGATATTTGTTGCCACCTGACAGCTTTGGGACTTGTCCTTGAAACTACATCTCTTGTCTGAGTAACTGACAACAGGTTATTGGAGAAGCCTGGCTTATAAATATGAGCCCATTCTACAAATCTTTGTACAGTCACAAAATTCTGAATGTCATGTACAGGGGCACCCTTATTCATGGCATCGCTCTCTGTGGCTTCAGTTGCTCAAAGCCAAATATGATCCAAAAATGTTAAATGGAAAATCCCAGAAATAAAAATTTATAGGTTCTGAATTGTGCACTGTTCCCAAAACTGATGAAATCTCATGCAGTCTGTCCTGCTCAGTTCTTCTTTCGTCCAGTGTATTCATGCAAGACATGCTGCCTGCCCATTAGTCACTTAGTACCCATCTAGATGATCAGATCGACTGTTGCCATATCACAGTGTTCAAGTTCCCCTTATTTACTAAATAATGGTTCCGAAGTGCAAGAGTAGCGATGCTGACAATTTGGATATGCTAAAAAGAAGCCATAAAGTGCTTCCCAGACTTTTCTAAATGGTAAAAGTTATCAATTTAATAAGGAAAGGAAAAGATCATATGCTAAGGTTGCTAAGATCCACAGTAAGAATGAATCCTCTATGTATGAAACTGTAGAAAGACAAATAAATTTGTGCATAATATATAGGATTAGGTACCATGCTCAGCCTCAGGCATCCATTGGTGGTCTTTAAAAGTATTCCTTGAAGATAAGGGGATATTATTGTAGAGCATTTGTCCTCAATTAAGTGTTTTCCTATAAAATAAAACATGTGTTATAATAAGTAACATAAATACAATCATGTGCCACATAACAACCTTAAGACAGGCCACATATATGATGATGGTCAGAACAATAGGCTACACAGTATAGCCTACAGGTGTAGTATGGTCTACCATCCGGGTTTGCACAAGGATGCTCTATGATGTTCACACAAAAATGAAATTGCCAAACGTTGCATTTCTCTTAACACATGCTCTAGTTGTTAAGTGATACACAGATGCACGTGGCTAAATTTTAACATTTCCAAAACTATTAGAACAAGAATACAATTTTGGAGCAAGATTTAAATGAACACAACTTTCTAGATACTATATTTTCAATAAATCTTACCCTATTTTATTTTCTTGAAGCCTACTTTGTTTTAGAAAATAAACTTTCTTTCCTTTGTAATGCTTCAGGTGCTGAGTTTTAACTTAGCTTGAACCTTGTCCTACGACATCATGCCTTGTTTCACCACTGGTATTCAGATTTCACTGCTTTGTGTCTTTTACTGTCTTGCACAAGACAAAAAAAGAAAATTGCTTTCTCCTCAATTATTTTCTTCTCCACTTTTCACTGAAAGATTTAAAAGAACAAAAACAGTAAGGGAAGTTAAAAATGATTTCTACTAAATAATATTTTCCAATATTTTGTTGCTTTTCTGTTAGTTTTTATATCAAAATGTATAAACTATATTTAAAAATGTGCAGAAGAATTGCTGCCACTTATTTTTTATGACTGGTCTAAACTTTCAAATCCCACTATCTTATTTGGGTATTGGGGAATGCAAACTTAAACATGGTAAGGAATCACAGACTTGTGCATTTAAAACAAAGTATTTTGGATAAATATTCAGCTAAATTACAGTCTAGCTGCTTCTTAGTGATATTTCTCTATTATTTCAGATGGTGTCTGGATTCATGGAAAAGCTTTTGTGTCCTGCTTGCAAAGAGGAAGAAGGGTTTCAAGCTGTCCTTCACATCCTTGCTGCAGTTTGGTCTCCTCCAGTTATTAGGCATCTGATACTAATGGTCACCAAATTGTTGCTGATACTGCTTTTTGTAAGGGAGTTGTGGAGAGGGACAGGCATTGCACTGTGGCTGAAATTTATATTTGATGACCTTCAAGGAAATGTCTACCTCAAGTTTCACTGGTCTACTCAGTTCTTACTGATTGCGCATAATCTCTGATAGCTTCCTTTCATCTGCTCCTAGCCTCACCATGGTGGTTGTGTGGAAGGTCCACTGTCTCAATTCTACCTTCCTGTGCCTCCTGGATCCGTATGGAACTTGGAGATCTCTTCCACGCTGCTACCTTCTCTGCTTCAGCGTGTCATGCTGCCCTTTCTCCTCCTCCTTAAAGGTTGCCTCAGTGCCAACGTCAGCCACCCTGTAAAGACTCTTCTCAGGTGTTCTCTGATTAATTTCAGGCCAGAAATGTCCTAGGTGATATGGAGAGGTTATCATCATGCTGGCCTGAGATATTTCTTTTCAGAGGTCTGTAATTTTCCTGAGCAACGCCCTGAAACATCAATTACTGAGAATTTTTCAAACCTATCTGACTTTCAGACCTCACTTTTCTTCCCTTCTGCACTTTCCTGAGGGGAAAGCCAGGACACTCCATTTGAATTCTTGCCTCCTTTCCCTCGAATTCTCTCAGAACTACTATCAGTACTATACCTTTTAGGTTTTTTTTGTTGTTGTTTGTGTTTTTTTTTTTTTTCAGGGGGGTGAAGTTGAGCTCTCCATACATCAAGTTCTTTTTCTTCTTTACACTGAAGCACATTTTAATACCTCCAAGGCTTAATTTGGATATGTAAGAAGTTCTTGGAATTTAGTTCTCTTTCTTTCTCTGTTTCTTTCTTTCTCTGTTTCTTTCTTTCTCTGTTTCTTTTTCTCTCTTTCTTTCTTTCTTTCTTTCTCTCTCTCTCTCCCCAACACCTCTGTCCATCTGTCCCTCCCTCCCTCCCTCCTTCCTTCTTTCTTTTTTTCTTTTTCTTTTCTTTTTTTTTTTTTTTTTTTTTTGAGACGGAGTCTTGCTCTGTCGCCAGGCTGGAACACAGTGGCGCAATCTCAGCTCACTGCAACCTCCACCTCCCAGGTTCAAGGGATCCTCTTGCCTCAGCCACCCAACTAGCTAGGATGACAAGCATGCTCTTGTACCCCTGGCTAATTTTTTTTTTTCAGTAAATATGAGGTTTTGCCATGTTAGCCAGGCTGGTCTCAAACTCCTGACCTCAAGTTATCTGCCCACCTTGGACTCCCAAAGGCATGAACCACCACACCCAGCCAGAAATCCTCTTTTTGTTGCCAAAAATCCTGATTTACAAGACTTTTGTCTCACTAATCACTGATTTAAAAAAGACAAAACAAAAAACAGCTTTCTTGAACAATGACTTTTTTCCCCTTTGTGTTCCTGCTTTAATAATCCAAATCCTGCCTGAGATAATGGATGCCTCTGGCTGAATAAGGGGAGGGTCAACTAATTTATTTCAAAAAGTCTTATCCTTGTTATAGTTGAAACTGCTGATTCTGATAAATTACTTTTATCTTTCAGTTATTTCCAAATTCATTTATTAGAGGAACCATTTATTTTCTGGAGAAGCTACTTTTAAAAACAAAGTGTTTTAAAAGATATTCTACAGTTTATCTTCAGCACTATCCTTAAGATTTCAAAAAAAATCTGTTTGTTTTTATTTCAATCCAATTCAACAAGCATCAGTTAATACTTTTTAAACTATCCTCTGATTCTGTGTACCATATAGGGAAGAGAGGTTTATAACAGGAATAAGCAAGGTTGTAGCTCTTCAGATGTAACAAAATGTATACATTAAATGATCAGAATAAAATGGAAGACTAAGAAATGTGTCAACATGTGTGTATTGCTTGAAATAGTTACTTGATAGATATTTATTGTTCTATATTGTTCCTTTACAGGTAAAAAGGTGTAGGTTATCTGAGCAACTTGAAAATAATAGATATCAGGGAAGACTATTCCAGGCCAGAAGAAAACAACATGGGGAACAACTTGGGAAATAAGCATTGTGGGTTCAGAGGACAACTCTGTTATGTTAAGCTTTAAATTGAATGAACACAACGAGTCATTCTAGAAAAATGTATTTTTTTCAGATATTTGTTCTTGGCATTGCCTTCCTTTTTTCCCCCACCCCCATATTTTTCATAAAGCAAATGCTTTGTCATATTCTTCCTCTTCAGTGACTGATATTGGCTCATTCCACTGCTTCTGTTTGCTTGATCACAGCTGTCCATGAGTCTTTCTTCTCCCCAGTGGACTGACTAAGCGAGGCTCATAGCTAATAACAGGCAGCCCAAGGGTCAGCCCTGATGGGGCTGCACATTTCTGACTTTGGAATAAAGTCATTCTTGCTACTAGTGAGGCTTACAAGAGTTTGTTTTTCTTGTAATATTGCAGCTAAATTTCCATTGAAATAATAATAGCTCAAAAAAAAGAGATGCTGTTCTTTCTTCTATTCTTATTCCTTTCACTGCCAAGTATATTGGAAAAATGAGAATATGTATACATTCCTAAAACTCTCTCTCAATCCACAACTCTACTGAAACTGCTTTCTTTGAGGTTCCCGTGGCCTAAAAAGACCCATCTCAATGACTTTTATTTCAATTTAATTCTCCTTGACTTCGCAACCATCCCTGACACTTTAACCATATCCTCTTAAAATGATTTTTTCCTTGGTTGCTAGAATGTAGCACTCTTCTGATTTGCCTCATTTCTCTCCAGACTATTCTTTTTCTGCCTCCTCTTGCTTTCTAAATGCAGCTATTTTCTAAGATTCTGTAATTATCTCCAGTGTTTTTCTCTTTGCATTCTCTCTCACGGTAATTTTATGTACTTTGAGTATTATTTCTGTGCAGACAACCCCTAAACATAAACACACACACACACACACACACACACACACACACACACACACACACGCTCTCCAACTGACTTCTCCACTGGACTACAATTCAGAATTTCTGACTATTGGCTGAACAATGCCATTTTGGAGCTCCCACCAATCACTTTAATTTTAGCTTTAAATTCAAAGCTGAAGGCCTCACACCCTTCTCGGATCTCCTCCTCCTCACTTCCTGTGACTGTCTCTAGCAGTGTTGTGTTGGAGCTGGCTCACACCAGCTTCTGAGGGCTTATAGTGTGCCCTCAGCCCTGAAGTCAGACATGTGAGGAGTATTTACACCACAGACGATGGCAAATGCTACAAATCAGGGATTTTCTTTCTTTTCTCAAAGCTGATTTTTGAATATTTTCTAGCACACTGCTGAATACTGTCATACCATCCTCCCAGTCACCTGAGTCTGAAAGTTTGGAAGTAATTTTGGACTATTTTTTTTTCTCATTTCTTAAATCCATTCAATGTCAAATCCTTTAATTTTTAGATCAGTCCAAACCTTACTACCTCCATTGCTCCTGGACTAATTCTTACCAGATTGCTGTCCAGTGCTTGCTTTATCTCTAATCCATGAGGCAAATGCTGGTAAATTAATCTTCTTAAGGACCAGCTTGGACTATAATCAAAAGTTTTCAGTGACTCTCCTTGCTGACCAAGGTTAAGAGTCATTAATTTTCAGTAAAGATGAGCCATAATCTGGCTCCCAATCTCACTGTAGCCTGTCTCTCAGTATTCCTGTTACAGACCTCAGAATCCTGAGCTCCTAGCTTATACCTGAATCATAAATAGTACTTTGCAAAATTTGGAGGATGAAACTTTTCAACTGACTAAATAGAGGACTTTTTGATTCTGTGTCTATTTTTTTTTTCCGGATTCCTCCCTTTGTCACTGCCACACACCTAAATCTTACCCATATGTCAAGGTTCAGCCCAGTGCCAACTTCTTCTGTTCCAAATATCTTTTTCCATCTTCTGAGGACCCATTTCAGAGTGTTTTACTTTCATAGTATCATTCTCTGCCTTTTATTAAAATTTCTAGTGAATGTGCTATATTTTGTTTAAAACAAATGGGTTAGAGCATGATGAATTTCTTCCTGGGTCTAATGGTCAAGCAATCAAAATCTGTTGACTCATTTGATATGGAGAACACCTGAGATTTATACAGCATATTTGCTTTCAAAATTACCTAGTACCCTCTCATTTTTTCACATGTTAAAATGGAGGAAGAAATGAGAAATTTTCTCTTATTTGTAGTATTACTCATTGAGAAATTAAGGACTGCTTGCTAAGACTAGGTTTATTTCTAGATCTTCAGATTTCCCAACTCTGAACATTATTTCCAACCATGCATGGTCTTGCTCTTTACATTCTAGGCAGAGTTTATATGGATGGATGATTGTCTCCCTGGATATTAAAGATATTAAGGGATATTATACTAGACTATAAACTCTATGAGGACAGAGCTCAAGTCTGTCTTGTTCTCCAAAAGAACCCCAGCACCCAGCTTGGCTCGACATTATTTCATCAAATCAACCCACAGCACCCGTTTTTGTCAACACGATAGATAGATAGAAAGATGAGCACTGTTCCTACTACTATTTTGCAAGTTTGTAGTAGTCACCCCTTATCCATGGGGGACCATTCCAAGGCCCCCAGTAGATGCCTGAAATTGCAGATAGTACCAAACTTTATATATAATAAGCTTTTTCGTATACATACATACCTATGATAAAGTTTATAAATTAGGTACAGTAAGAGATTAACAACAATAACAAGAATAAAATAGAACAATTATAACAATATATTTTAATAAAAGTTATGTGACTGTGAATGTGACTATTCAAAATATCTTATTGTACTGTACTCACCTATTTTCAGACCATGGTTGACCAAGGGTAACAAACCACGGGAAGAGAAACCATGGAGAAGGGGAGACTCCTGTATTTTCAAAAGTTACAAGATCACTGTGTTGTAGATTAATAACTTTTCCCCCAAGGCCTTTATTGGTTTATTTATTTACAGACTTTGACTATAGCTTGGCAGATAGCATCAGCAACAGCACAGAGAAAGAGTAATTGGGCACTGTTTTAAAATTTACTGATGACCTCTTAGAGCGGTAATACTTTAACATAGGCAGTCGGAGTAACTTCCTTAAATTTGTTTTATCCTTGTTTATCTGTTACATGATGGCCGACATCCTTAAGTCCTTAAGTACATAAGTTTACAGCTGATGACCGTTGAATATGTTTACCTTGTTCTAAATAGACTTACCTTGTTCTAATTCTAGAGAGTTTTTGTTTGTTAGTGTTTTTGTTTGTTTGGTTGGTTTTTTCCCTGTTTTTTGTTTTTTAACATTGGTCTGAGAGATTTTCCTGTTATTTTACTCTCTGATCTGGAAATAGCTCCACCAGCAAAAACTAAATATCTCTTCAAAATGTATGTACACAGACTGGTTGACTATACCATTGTTAAACCATAGGGCAGATGCTGTAATTTTAAAAATATCACCATAGGCCAAAATGCAAAATGAGAGAAAGGCATTTCTGAATCCCATGAAGGTTATAGATAACACATCAGGGCTTAAACAGAATTGGTGAACTAACTATGAATATTCTCTTTATGTCAACTGGTATATATTACTTTGCTTCTCTCAAAACAGCATATTTTTATTAAATATTAGTATTTAGTCTGCAGTTGATTGCTTTAATTTTTGTTACACTACATTTCTCACTGCAATACTTATGAGGAAATCCCCAGGTCTACTAAATATACCTCTCTCATGTTAGGTTTGAATATGCTCTATGCCTCTTGTGTAACTAACAATTATTGGATTTGGGCTTACAAAAGCCTTTTAAATTGCAGCTTCCACAAACTTTTTTTTTTTTTTTTGATATTGTGTTAAAATGAAATAGGTCCATTAACATGTCTGATAATCTATTTCGAGATATAATGATTCTGAAATATAAATGTTAAAAAAGTATTATTTTAGCCTTTTCCTTTCATTTCTATGTGTAATATTTTCTCATATTAGTGTGGTTGGCAGACTGTTGTTTAAATCAGTCAATGCAAATTAGCCTTGTAATTTCCTCTGTACTAAAATTTGCTTTTGCTCACCTAATCTGTAGTTGAGTAATTATTCTTCAGGTGGCTATTCGTGTTCCTATTAAGGAAAGAGGAACTGGAAGAGTGGTAAACATAATCATTATCATCTGCTTCTAATATCTATTTTAAATAATGCTTTTCTTTTATATTAGTTTAACGTAAGATTTGTAAAATGCTGAATGTTATCTTTGAAAGAGCTAAACTCTATATAAGTTTCTTGGAAATTAGTAAATAATTAAAATTTTCAACACATGTAATAATAAATAAGATTTTTTTAAAAATACTGTAGATATTTATCTCCATGGCTAATGACCACACACCAGCTAAATTTTGTAACAACACAGGAGGAATGTATACATTTAGAAATGATATTAATTATATTTTCATTGCAGGGAAACGATTTGTAAATCCAATAAGTCCTTCTTAATGATGATAATAATAATGGTCAACAACAGACATAATTATTGAATGCTATCATCTGCCAAATTTTTGATATCCTAAATACATATTATTATTTACTTTATTCAGGTGAGGAAATCAAAACTAACAAAAGTTATGTAACTTGCTCAGTGCTTCACTTCAGACAGTTACAGAATTGGAATATAAAATCATAGTTGGCTCTAACAATTTGGAAAATGTATACATCTTAATGGGACATATATGATCCCTGTTGCCTTAATTCATAACATTTTACTATAAATATTTTTTCTTTATAGATATTTGTGAATAAGACCTCAACTGACCTCTATGAATTTAATTTCAGTATCCCACATTGCATTCAAGTATACCTTGGCCACTGACCTACCCCTCCAACCTCCCAGTCAACATAAATGCCTCCTTTTGAGTTAGCCAGTTGTTTATACCTCTACCTATGCTCAGAAAGACAAAGACTCCTCAGATTCCTGTAGCCTAGCAGGAAAGTTGTCTCACTCATTTCTTGTCTTCAGCATCACTCACAACGTCAGTATAAAATGAATAGATATTTTAGAGTTAATTGTTCCCCTACATAGACCAAGAATTCTTGAATGTTAGGACAACAGCTAACTCTTCTAATGTGCCTGCATGTGGGTCAGAGCCCTCAACCACATGGCAAAATGTGAAGAAGGGATGAGTCTGTCATTCGATCAGTTATCAACTTCTTGAGCCGAAAGAGGAAAGACAGAATAACAACTCCCCAAAATAAGATGAGAACAAGAAACAAAATGTCTTGCCACAAGCTGGTCCTTTATGAGAGTATTTGGACAATAATATTAATATCAACAGTATTAATAATAGCAGTTATCACTCAATACTCCATTATGTTCCAGAAATTTTATCAGTTCCTTTGTATATATTCTCATTTAATTCTTAGAAACTATAGGTACCATTATTTGCATTTTAGACATGAGGAACATGAAACTCAAAGAAGTCACTGCTATCAAGTGCAAGTTCATGATTTCAACACAGGGTGATGTTCCTTTAGGTCCTGTGCTTTTCACTTAAAACCAAATCTGAAATTTATTCAGAAAAATAAGAAGTTCCTGTGTCTTTCAAAATGTCACTGATTCTTTCACATACTTTGTATAATTATAATTAGGGTTCATTGTAATTTAGAGTACTGCAGTGAGTTTTTATAAACTATTTGTATACTTAAAATATACTCTACACCAAGCAAAATATGTTATTATTTTCATGGAATTATTGAGTGTATATCCAATATTTGGAAGCCAAATAAGGTAAGCATTGGCCACATTGTTATTGTTGTTAGGTCTGTTTTATGGAAGGGTGAGTGTGTGGGTGTTGCAGGGTGTGTTACACACAATTTTAAGAGGAGGCAATTCTTGAACTGAATGTTTATTTTTCATATAGCTCCATGTTAACTAAAGAAGAAAGTTCCAAAACATATTATTTATATTTTAAGCTAATTTATTTCCTATCTTATGAAAGACAAATTGGGAAATATTTGAAGTATTACATGCAGCAGCATCAATTTCAGGTGATTCTATTAAAATGCATGTAACCTTATTATGCTATTCTACAAACAAAAAATGTGTATAGAAAGAGTAAAACACTAAGCAAATAGTCTGTTCTTTACCTAAGTTCATCCTGAAAGATGTATCCTTTCTGGTTCTACATCTTATTACAACCTCCGAATGCAATTTGTGTTTATTTAATTATTTGTCCATTTCAGGAAAAAAATTACCAGTAAAATGATTAATTTTTAAAAAGAAACCAAATATATTTCAGAGGATCTGCCAATGTGTAATGCCTTCTAAAACTGGCCAAAAATATCAGTAGACTAATTGTGAAATAACTGTGTTCTATGCAGAATTCTCAATGCTATTCTGGCTTGCTCTCTTTTTTTGAATTCCCCCACCTCTATACTCCCACCCCGGAAAAAAAAAAAAAAAAAAGAAAAAGAAAAGAAAAACAGATTACAGTAAATTTTGGCAAGGAATTCTATTTGCATCATTTTCTTAGAAGTCACATGCTTTGGATTTCCTCTTGTTTATGATATATTAAAATGCCTTCCAGATGTTTTTAATTATAAAGAAAGTTTTCAAGAAAGCAGAGTAATCCATAATAAAATTTCCTCTTTTTTTAGTGGCCAATAAATTAGTATATTCCAGCTTATCAAACTGCTCCATAATTCTGTGGGTGACCTGTTTAAAGAAGGCCAGGCATTGAGTAAGACAGCTAGATTCGGGCAGAGGGAGAGTTTTACCAAGAACATTTTCAGTTCCTGATTCCAATGAGGCTGCTCCCTGCCTAGGGCCTACCCTAATGCAAAATCCCATTGGCTAGAATTGCTTAAATGTCCCACACAAACATAAATACCTCAGTAGTGCTGGGAAGATGAAAGGAACAGCTTATTGATATTGTATATGCCCACGTTTGGATGTGGGACAGGGAAGACAGCATTTAATTGCTAGTGTGCAATGCTGAACCTGGCTGTATGAAGAGGTTTTCATCTACTGATGTTGGATGTGTGCCCAGACTGCCATAGTAGAATTTAGGGAAAAAACAGAAAGGAGGAGAGACACAGAATGGTTTTCGGGAACATCCATGTAGGGCGGAAGAATAAATATATGTGAAGAACATGTTTCTAGAAATGACTTGCCACTGGGGAACAGTTATGAGTTCCCCAAATCCCTTCCTGGTCATCTCCATTTGTATTTGAAGATAACTGTTCATCTTGATGTTGATTCAGGGTAGGAATAAGATTACAATTGGGTTAAAAGAGAAAGAGTACAGGTCATGGCAAGAAACCTGACATCATTTTGCTTGTTGTTTTAAGCTTAGCAAGGAGATAAATGTGGTGGGGGTTTTTGTTTGTTTTTTTGGGTTTTTAATATTACTAAAAGAGAAGGCTTTATTGATCGTGGACATGGTGCCTGTTAAAATGTATCTGCTGATCATCTGCCATATGGGATAGACCAAGAACCTTTGGAAGTTGCGATTTTATGGCTCACAATGTGAATTTAAGTTTAAATGGGACTTTCAATGGTCTAAGTCAATGGAGGGCTTTCTGGTAACTCTCTCATCACCCTAACCCACTTCATCCCTTTGTTTGTAACTTTAAGCATATTTGCCAAATGTGACCAAATGTATTCATGATGATAGCTTTAGACAGGCATTTTATTAAATAGGTGTCTGTAGGAAGTGGTGCTTGAGAAAAAAGCGAGGCAGTGTGACAGACACAAGCTAGTCAGTTGACCAGTATTTACTGAGCAAACACAATATACACAGAGAAAAAGTCCTATAGAAGAGAGAAATGAGAAGAAGCTTCATTGGACAAGAGTAGAGGGTCAACAGAGGAAAGTCCTGAGAGTACTCTAAAAGGCTCCCAGCTCAAAAGTGAGGACACTAGAACGGACAGGAAAGAAG